GCATTACGAAGGGACCTGAGTTCAATTCTGGTCAAGGCATATGTCTGAATTGGGGGCTTGATCCCCAGTGGGGGATGTGCATAAGGAGGCCAATCATTGCTTCTCACTAATCATTGATGTTTCTATCTCTGTCCCTTTCCCTTCCTCTCTAAAATCAATGAAACTATATTTAAAAAAATAATTGTAAATTATAGAAATAATACATTAATTTATCCTGTTATAAAATAGTAAAATGCTATAGATATAGTATTACTTTTTTTTTCAGTGTTTGTTGATTAAAATTCTTGAAGCCTCATTAGGATATAATATGCTTTGTATCAATTCATTTCAACAAACATGTACATATTTTGCTCCTGCTGTAATAATATGTCAGGTGCTCGGCTAGACTGTGTGGGTTATTTTAACTTGTTAGTTATGGCCACTGTGGTGTGTTGGGGAGCACAGGAGACTTGGTTGGAAAGTTGTAAGGAGGACATTCTGATAAAAGGAATGTGTGTGGAAGGCCGCCTGCCCTATTTATCGGAATTCTGACTTAGTGGAGACATAGGGAATGTCAAAGGCAGTGCTCCTAATTATGCCTTGACTTTTCCAAACAAGTCTGATTACATACAGACCCCAGGTATTTACTGGAATCTTTATGCTTAATCTCTGGATGCTCTTGCCTAGAGGACAGGGTAAACATATGTGTCCTCCCAAAATTACTCATTCTACTGATTATATCTAAAGATAAAAAATGCAATAAAAGGCTAACAAGGCAGGAGCCCCTTTGTCTTGTCTTTCACCATTAAACTGTGTCTGAGTAACCTGTTCATACATCTTTCAGGTGCTGCTGGTCAGCCCTACAGTGATGAAGGTGTTGGGCAAAGTTGAGTGGGAGAGACTGAACTACAAATGGATATTTCAAAATAATTCAGTAAGAGCTTGGAAAGGCAGGAGGCCAGAGTAAGCTCTAGAAAGACTTTTTTGAGGAGAAGATGCTTGAGCTAAGAAGGGTGTAATGTGGTCAAGCTCAATTGGGCAACATAAAGTGTGAGCGTGAGAAGAGGGAGCAAAGGGAGGAATGGCTCTCAAGAAAGAAGGATGAGTCAGGGCAGCATGTGGGATGTGGTGTATACTTTTACCTGGTTTAAAGTGGGAGGCAGGGACTGGTGATTGAGGTCTGGACAATTGGTAGAGTGAGTCTTTTGCTGTGGAGCCCAGGCCATTCTGCAGAGGCCAGGGGTTATGAACTATATTGCAAGGGTCATGGGCTCCTTGGTGAACCTGATGAGAACTATGGCGCCATCTCCAGGAAAATGCCGGTATTCACAACGTTCTCTATATAATTTCAGTGTGTGCATAGACCCACTGAAGTGAATGAAGAGTGGTTGGCAGTAAGGATGGGTTGCCACTGACGGGGTGTTAATAAAATAATGTAAAATATTGAAACAGGAGCGAGCTTGGATTAAGTTAGGTTTATAATAGATAGCTTTAGCCTGCTGGTCAGTAGAGGCACATGCTGTAGAGGTGAAGTCATGGAGGCTTCTTGGGCCTGTTTGCCTTGGGCTTTGACTGTCCGAGTGTGTAGGACCCAAACAGAAGCATGAGCAACAGTGTTCTACAGCAGTGTCCCTCAGTTACAAATAGGTGAACACAACTCTTCTTGCATCTGTTTGTTGGCCCTCACTCACTCCATAAGCATGTGTGTCAGAAAAAAAGATTTTCTGGGTGACTATTTATAGCTTTCCTCACTGCTGTCCCATTGCAGATGTTATGTTGCATCAGGACAGTGGACAAAGTTAACAAACTGGAGGGGATTTACGTGGGAAAGGAGAGAGAATTACTGATGGGAGGACAAAAGATTGATGAACACTGAAGGGAGAGGGGAAAGAGAGTAGAGAGCAGAAGCTTATTTGCTGACCTCAAGGGCAGCTGTGACTAGGGTAAAGGAGAGATGGAGAGTCTTTTGAGGGTGAGGGGAGTAGGGAAAGATGCAAGTTCATTTTTGCCAGAAGGAATGATTTTTCATCCTGCTCCAACATTTCTAGGGAGGATTTAAAAAAATTTTTTAATGATTATTTGGCCAAATAGGTTTCAGAAGAGGGAGTGTAGACCTAGTAGTAATTGCAGAACAATAAGGTGTGGCAAAGAGCTTTTTCTCTCCTAGTATATAAGTGCAGTGTTCTGCATCATGTGAAAATTTACTTGTGAGATAAAGTTCTTAGACTTAGTAATAAAAAACAATTCCAACCTTTTTTAAAAAATTGTGATTTCTTTTCTGTTTTCAACTGCTTTTCTTTGAATGCCACTTCTTGCAAGAGCTGAAACTCAAGAAATATAGTTTTCCTTTTGGATGACTAAGGCCAAGACACAAAATTGCTCCTTCATTGATGTTCCGAAGTATTGCTGAGGATGCTATTCTTGAGTCTCCTGTACTAAAACCCTATCTTGCAAAAGGCCAGTTCTGGGTTGGCTTTTGTGATTAACATTCCCTATATGTGCCCATTCTTCTGCACCCAGCCACCGTGCCACCGGGAAGGAGCTAATAGTGGTATATCTCTTTGCATAAGTGGCTCGATTTTTACAAGGTCTAGTATATCAACTCTATTAATTGATAGCTATGGGATACTGGGGAAGATATTTAACTGTGCTGGGCCTGGGTTTCCTCATTTGTAAATGAGAGCATTAACACTTGCCTTATAGAATTGTTGTGAGGATTAAATAAACATATGTAAATCAATTAGCACTGTAGCTAGCAATAAGTGCTCAATAAATGTCAGCTATGATTACTTTTATTCTGATGATGATTACATTCTTATGCTTGTAACTTCAAGCCTGCCATCTAGTTTCAATCTTCAATAACCCTCTGCAGTGAGAATGACTGTGATTCCATTTTCAGGAAAAGGGGAATAAAAAAGGTGAAGAGCTTTTGAAGGATTGCAGGCTGGATCTGACCTCAAATCCTATGATTTTCTGGCTCTAGGACACCCCTGTAATTGAAGCATGTGGCATGTTTTCTAGTCCTTTCTCAGAGCATTTGCACACCCCTAATTGAGAGCTGCTGACCAGGGAGAGTCCAGGGGATGATTGGCAGGAGCCTGGCCCCACCTCAGGACTCTGTCACCACAGACCCCAACCCCCACCAAGGCTGCAAATGGCCTTGTACAGCCACCCACTTCCCTCTGGGAAGGGGCTTTGTCCAGTTTAATGCTCCTGGGCAGCGCTACCCTATATATCAGCTACCTGGAGTAACTTGGCAGGTCTGGGTTGTCACGGAGAAATCCCTATCCCGATGCCTCTTCCTTATGGTGGCCGTGCATGCTCCTGTGGCCTAAAAGAAAGAAAAAGGAAACATTTATCTTAATTTTTCAGATGGAGAAGTGCACCTAGTGCTGTTGCTAAGTATGGCTTTTCTCTTGTTTAAAACTTGAGATTCTTTTGTAACAGAGTTTTGAACACAAGAATGAAATGATTTTGTAGCCTAATCATTATTATTTACAAGTCATTGATATTCATGAGATGTCCTGAGGAGAGGCATTGTAGATAGTGAGATTTAAAATAATGTCATGTTTGGAGCACTGGACATATTTCTTTTTCACCAAGGTGAACACAATGCCCTAAAACTAGCCTGCCAGACTCTCTTCTTAAGGTTCAACTTCAGCCAAAACCGGTTTGGCTCAGTGGTAGAGCATTGGTCTGTGGACTGAAAGGTCCCAGGTTCTATTCAGGTCAGAGGTATGTACTTTGGTTGCGGGGACATCCCCGGTAGGGGGTGTGCAAGAGGCAGCTGGCCAATGTTTTTCTCTCATCGATGTTTCTAGCTCTCTATCTCTCTCCCTTCTTCTCTGTAAAAATGTAAAATATATTAAAAAAAAAAAAAGGTTCAACTCCAGGGTTCAACTGTACAGAGGATGTGGAGTTTTTGATACCATGGTAATACCCTGTAATTCACAGAAAAGGAGCAAAGGGAAGGCCAAATAGACGCAGGCCCAGTAAAGTCTGGGTGATGTAGGGAAGGTTCTTCTCTGTCACTCACACCTGGGAACATAGTTGGTTTGGCCATTGCAAGCACGGGAAGATTTCAGATATTAAACTCCTAAACAAAGTTCTCTTTCTTGCACACTTCCCTGCATGCTCCCTTATGGCCCCCAGCCATAATTCCACTCCCCCTCCCCAAACACACATACAATGGACTGATAGATGGCCCATAGCCTGATCCTTTGCCTGACCCAGCTCCACCATGGAATGGAAACTTGGCACATTGGTTTGGCTTTTGGCTCTCTGAATCCCCAGCTGCTCCTCTTTTACAACTGGTTTAAGGGAAATGGCACTTTAGAAATGCAGATGTGTAATTCCACACAAATAAAGATCTCTCATCTTCCTGTGTGACTCTTAGAAAAATCCTTTTTCTCAATATATCGTGAGGACCAGTTCCCCAATGTCCAATGGAAAAAGGAATCCCTCACTTCCCACCAGTGGACACCCCATTGCCATTAATTACATTTTGACACATTAAAGAGGTGAGTCCATGGACTCTGGAAAGAGTGGCTTGCTTTCTGGCAGATACTGGCTGTTAGCTCCCTTAGGTAAAGCCAAATAACCAGCATGCCAGATGTTAGGCATTTGGTTAAGAGACCTTGTTAATAAAACAAGATTTTTTCATATGTATGTCCTTTCATCTTCCAAGTTAGGTCAATTTCACCTCCCTCTTACTAGAGAGTCCAGGGTTAAAAGTGGTCAGCTAATTAGAGGCAGAGTAAAATTCCAACTCAGGTCTGCACAAACAAAGCACCCAGTTGGTCATAGGAGTCCCCTCTTCACGGGAGAGCTTTCTCCACATCTCATGGCTGGCCTCTTACGCCCTGTCTATTTAAGAACATAGACATCAACCATTTGACTTTTCTACACACTTGAGAGTTTATGTGCGCAAATAATAAACAGTACTCATCACCCCCAGCACTAATAGAATAATTTGGCAGTCTCCATTAAGAAAACTGGAAGCTCCGAACCATCACACTTACAGCTTGCTCAGATTCTTTGTAGTCACACTCCTTCCAGGGTTTGCCACTTTGAATAGAACAGTTGCCTTCCTTCACTTCATACTTGACAGAATAAAATACGTCATGGTCTACCTGGAAAAAAAGCAATCAAAGTTACCCAAGGCTCATTCAATTGACAACAGCAGACCATTGGAAAGGGATCTGGTGCAGTTATGAATATTTGATATTGATTTAATTCAACAAGAGCAAATCATTTATGAAATATACTAAAAGTTATAAGTAGTTGTAAGAATGTTCATAATAAATTTATAAACATGTATTTTCAAGTAATAAAGTAGTGTACAAAGTATTACCCTATTTTTGTAGAAAGCAATGTACATGCACATATATGGTTTTAAAAGTCTGAAAAGTTATGAGCAAAGCTGTTAACATGTTGCTCTAAGTGGTGGGTGTAGAGTAAAAGATACTTTCTTCTTTAAAGAAACATTCCTAAATTGTCTAAGTATTTTTAAAACAAATATATATTACTTTTACAATTAAAAAACAAACCAACAAACAAGAGTACTTTCTTAATTTTTTGAAAAAAAATGTTAACAGGTATCTCTGGATGATGAGATTAGTTATGGGTAATTTTAGTAATCTTATTTGATTGGTTTGTTTCCTATTTTTAAAAAAATATATTTTGCCGGGACCGGTTTGGCTCAATGGATAGAGCGTCGGCTTGGGGACTGAAAGGTCCCGGGTTTGATTCTGGTCAAGGGCATGTACCTTGGTTGCGGGCATCTCCCCAGTAGGGGGTGTGCAAGAGGCAGTTGATCGATGACTCTCTCTCATTGATGTTTCTAACTCTATCTCTCTCCCTTCCTCTCTGTACAAAATCAATAAAATATATTTAAAAATATATATATTTTTTATTGGTTTTTACAGAGAGGAAGAGAGAAGGATAAAGAGCTAGAAACATCAATGAGAGAGAAACATCGATCAGCTCCCTCCTGTACATCCCGCACTGGGGATGCACCCACAACCAAGGTACATGCCCTTGACCGGAATCGAAACCGGACCCTTCAGTCCGCAGGCTGACACTCTATCCACTGAGCCAACCGGTTTGGGCTGCTTTCTATTTTTTTTCTAACATGCCATAATAAATAAAACTTTAAATCCTAAAGGTTCTGAGTGAGATGAGCTTTTAGATGCAAAATCCTGGCATGTTGGAGCAGCTAGAGACCTGAGAGGTGATGTGGCCTTGTCACTCACTTTGCAAGTGAGAGAAAGGAGGCCTAAGGAGAGAGAGCCGAGCTTAGGCAGCCTCCTATCTTGGAAAGGCAAAGCCAACCCAGACCTGGTTCTCCTTAGTCCAGGGGCAGTGCTCTCTCAGAGTATTTGCATCTGGGAGTAGATGGAGTCAAATGCGACAGTTCAGCGGTTCCTTTCAGATCTCAGATTTTTACAAAGCAGTAGGTGATAGTGATTCTATGGATATTTTAGAATAAACAAAACAAAAACCAACAACCACGCATTTGCCACAGATGTCAGTCAGTCAATGACAATAACAGCAATAAAACATTACTGAGGGCACCAGGACTCCCATGACTACACTAGTTTGTAAAACAAAATGGCTCAATGTTACTTTAAAAAACAAATAAAAACAAAAAGCCCATTGGGCTTTTAAAAAATTTTTATTTTATCATGTCAAATGGATGGATTTTTTTTCCACTGAAGGAAGCTATGACAGAGAAATAGTGATATTCATTTGAACAAACTATTAAGTTTGTGATTTTTAACTTTGATATTTTTCCCTTTAAATATAATTTTTCGCCAAAACCATTTTGGCTCAGTGGATAGAGCGTTGACCTGTGGACTGAAAGGTCCTAGGTTCGATTCCGGTCAAGGACATATACCTTGGTTGTGGGCACATCCCCAGTGGAGGGTGTGCAAGAGGCAGCTGGTCAATGTTTCTCTCTCATCGATGTTTCTAACTCTCTATCCCTCTCAATTCTTCTCTGTGTAAAAATCAATAAAATATATTAAAAATAAATAAATAAAACTTCCCCCTTTAAAAAAATATAATTTGTTTTCTTTTGACTGACATAAGATTTTTAATTTCAAAACAGGTTACAACAAAAACAGAAATATACCCTTGTGTCCCATATTTATTTTCACAAATGCAAGAAATCCTTTGGGAATATCAGCATGTGATTAAACAGCGATCAAACCACTGAATCTACAAGTTAATACATACTCTGTTATGGCAGAATAACCAAGAATTTACCCCAAAGAAAGATGTTAATTTTTCTAAATATGAAAGGGTATAAGAGGATCATATTCGAACAAACAAAAAAATTGTTATTCCAGATTTTTAGTCTAAAGATGGATAATACACTGGCAGCTGAAGAAAGCTGAATCTATAAATAGATCCAGATGAAATATTTTAACATTTTTTTTTAGAAAACAGAACCAGAATTTCTTTTTTTCAAAATAACCCTGAGGAATGCCTTTACTTCCATATTTACCTAATACTACATCAGTGAAACAGACACAAGAACTTTGATGAAAGCTCAACAATGCTGGATGCAAGATGTTTACATGTGCACTTTCGTTCAAAAGTCCCACATGTTTATTGACTAAGGCTAGACAGAAAATCATATGATCCAATTTGATGCTCTTTCTAATGTCAAAGATCACTATATGGATATAGTGAAAGACTGAGCCCCAACTTTCAGGAAAAAAGACAACAAAGAAGAAAATCAATTATTTAGTTCCCCAAGTGAATTGTTTGAACTGGACAAAAAGGTGGAAGGTACAGACTGCAATGAATTAAAAGAGTTGGAAAAAGTTGGTGGAGAGAGGCATAGTATATGAGTATGGTCTTGAGTTGTCAAGGGCATTGCAAAAAAGAGCATCCATGGGACCAAGTACTTATAATGTCCTGTGGTGTCACTCCCTCAATGATGTTTGGACATCTATATGCGATAATAAACAGATCAGTTATGCCAGTGGTTGACAAATTGTGGCTCTCGAGCCACATGTGGCCCTTTGGCCCCTTGAGTTTTTAGCAAAGGCCAGGTTAGAAGTACCCTAATTAAGTTAATAACAATGTATCTATTTATATAGTTTAAGTTTAAACAATTTGGCTCTCAAAAGAACTTTCAATCGTACTATTAATATTTGGCTCTATTGACTAATGAGTTTGCTGATCACTGAGTTATGTAATAAGGCTGTGTGTCAAATATGCATTCACCCTGTGGAATGAACTACTACAGAGATACATGATACCATACATTCTGTAAATGTTCTTGTACTGTGTCTGATTTGCTTGTTTTCAAAGCCACCCAGGCATACTCTTCCCGGGATGTCCTGGGAGAGAAAAGTGGTCTGCTGAGCCCAACTTTCTTAATGTTTTCTTTACAAGAGATGATGATTGACTTTAAAGAGAAATAAAGCTAAAGGTTGTTTGATTTTGATTTGTTTTTCTCTTTCAGGTGCATCATCTGAATATTTTCATATAAATAACAACAAAAATCACAATTAAACCTTCCCGCCTTTCCACCTTCACCAACCTAAAAGTTTTCATGCATGCAGTTGAATTTTTTGGAATCACATCTATGGACTGGATTTATCTTCAACCTGAGTGTATCCATTAGTGGTAAAGAATATTCAAAACTAACTAGAGGACAGAGACAAAATGACAGTGGAATAGAAGGACATGTCCTGACCCTTGTCACAGAGCAAATAGAGAGAGCAGCTGCAATGAAAGGAATCCAGCCCGAATTGGTGGAGACACAGCTGGTGAGATAGTTTGCAGCTGGGAAGGGCAGAGATCTCCTGGAAAAAGGTAAAGTCAAAGGTCTTAAAATAGAACCTGCCAGATCTCTATGCCCAGAAGGTCAGGAGAAAACTACACAATGCTAAGCTGTATCACTGAGGACAGGCAAAGCATCTGACTGTGAGAAAAAGGGTCTACAGACTGTGGGAGGTAACGGATTTTAGACCTTGGAGTCTGGATTTGGGATCTGAGCTCAAAGGCAGCCCTGAAGAGCTAGCTGCCCAACCACACAATGCTGGAAAGAAAAGAGCTTGTAAAGACATGTTCCCTCCTCCCGCTGGGCCCTGTGTCTTTCTCCCCTGAACCTAATTTGTAGGACCTTTCAGATACAGATACTTACCCATGAATGAAGGGCAATAGAAGGGGTGGAGTTGTGGAATCTAGGGAGAGCAGGTGGCGAAGGTTCAGAAGAGGTGGAATTGCATTGAGTGCTGAGGCACATCTGATTCCAGATTGCCATTTTCTCCTGAGAGATAGCCCTTTCCTCCAGTTTCCAGGCAACCAATATAGCCACACCCAGATTCCACCCTGATTAACACCTTGGAATCTGAATACTTCCTGAGGCCATAGGAAATGCCCAAAAGAAAAATCTTTAGAAGCTAGGCACCTAATTAGGCAGTTACACTGCCAGGACCCTTCAGAGTGCTTCAGTGTGCCTTGCAGGCAAACTTACCAAAAGTGCTCCTGTGAGTCGCCACTGGGAGTAAGCGCCTATCTACCACAGGTGCAGCAGGTAAAGCTGAGCCTGCCCACCCAACAACTACAGATCTCTGGGCAACACAGTCACGCCTTTCCAGAGAGTAGGCCCCCTGAGCCACATCACCCTGACATACAGTTCCTTGGAGCCACTGTAAGTCCCCACTGAGCAAGCATGATTTCAATTTAGGATGCAAGATAGCAAAAATTGGGATACTCCCCTCCACAATTGCTAACACTGCAATTGTGCCTCTCAAGCTCGCAGGTCTACATCAAGAGAACTCAAATAGTTCCAGTAAGGAACTATACTAGATTACCAAGCCCAGGAGACCCAAGAGATTACACCAGTAGCAGCATCACCAAAAGAACCTGGGTAGCAAAGCAATTGGCTCTATAATCAAAACATTATAAGAAAACATGGGAGACAAAAGGGCAATCCCTAAAGGAAAGGAAAAGAGGAATCACCAGAAAGGGAGTTAAATAAACTTGAGGCTAACAACTTAATAGAGAAATAATTCAGGGTATTGGTTATAAGGATGTTTAAATGGATGAATGATAAATACACACAGCTCAATGAGAACTATAAGGAGCTGAATGAAAATGTCACCAACAT